CCCACGCCAGATTGATAGGGCTCCAGAGTCAACATTCTTCCATTTGTTAAACAGATAAAAAAAAACCTGGAAGACACAGGGTGTCCAACTGTTTAGAACGGAATGTTGTAAAAAATGTTTGCCCAGGCAAGAGTCAACAGAGGTGTGTCTGGGCAGATGGACTGGAGGGAGGACAGTTAAGGACCGAGTAACTTCCATCCAGGCAACGCCTGACCAAGTATGTCTGCGGTCCCACAACGTGATATGAGAGTTCAAAACTCTTGATGGGAGAAATGAGATGCGACAGCTTCCCACACACAATACATGGAGTTCTCTGGTGTACAAAGCGTGCAGGGCCAGGCGTCTACGAGGCGGGCTTCAAAGAGCCCATGGAAAAAGTGGAATGCGAAGATAATGGAATTTTTCCACAAACCTTTTGAGGTTCCCTCTTTCCAAGTATCACCTGTAACACATGCCTTTTTTTTAAAATACTTTCATTGGGGGCTCTTACATCTCTTATAAACAATCCATACATTCATCAGTGTGTCAAGTACATTTGCACATAGGCGGCCATCATCCTTTTCAAAGCATTCTCTTGCCCCTTGATATCAACTCCACATTTCTTCCCCCTCCTTCCCCCACAAACCCTTGATACGTTATAAATTCTTTTTCCCATATCTTACATCGTCCTCCGTCACCCCCCACCCACTTTTCCGTTATTCGTCCCCCTGGGAGGGGGTTCTAGTTTGATCTTTGTCATTGATTCCCCCACTTGCCCCCAACCCTCCTGGTATCTCTAAGCTCCTTGTTGGCCCTGAGGGGTTTACCTATCGTGGATTCCTGTGTTGTGGGCTCTATCTGTAGCAGTGTGCATGTCCTGGTCAAATCCGATTTGTAAGGTAGAATTGAGGTCTTGACAGTGGGTTGAAGGAAGTACCAAAGAACGAGAGGAAAGTTGTGTGTTTTATCGGTGCTATACTGCACCGAGTGGCTCATCTCTTCCCTGTAACCTTCCTGTGAGGGGCTGTCCAATTGTCTACAGATGGGCATTGGAACTCCACTCCATGCCGCCCCCAGCATGTCTTTTTTTTTTTTTTGCATTTCAATTTTTTTTAAATCATTAGGGGCTCATACAACTCTTATCACAATCCATACACACATCAATTGCCCAACATGTGTCTTGATAGTCATACTTTTTAGTTGGCTTATGTATGATACTGCTCTATCTAAAAAGTTAATCATGCAAAAGTGTGCCTCGATTCAGAGCCACAGCATCCAACCTCGGGTGCATGCATCCCTTGAGCATTACGGCATTCTCATTTCCTATGGAAAGTGTGACCATGAGTGCATCCTGGCTCTCAAAGGCAGCAAGAGCAGGCCTAGTGACGCCAAACAAGCCCAAACCAAACTCACTGCCATCAAGTTGATTCCGACTCATAGCGCCCCTGTAGGGTATCAAAGAACAGCCCCTGTGAGTTTTCTCCTTTTTCCCACCCCCAGCAGTTTTACTGACACATAATTCACGTTCAATCACTCGGGCATCTCTAGAACTGTACAATCACCACATCAAGTTTAGAGCACACCCCCCCCC